GTGACCTTCTGGCGGCAGCCACCATGCAGAATGCCACCCCAGCTGCCGGAGGACACTTGTCGGCACCCCCGGGGGTGACCTGTGACCGCAGAGGGAGGGCCCTTCACTTACTTTCTCTCCTCCTGTATCGAGTTGGGGTGCCTCATTTCCATCAGGGCACAGCCAAATTTCTAGAAAGAGAGGGGAGGAAACGTGAACCGTGTGCTATTGCACCTGCCGCAGAGTTGGGCACGGGGTCCTGGGGTCCTGGTGGGTGAAAGGGGGCCTCGTGCCTGGGAACCAGGATGTCCTCACAGCTGCCTAAGCTTATTTGGTCTGCTGCCCCCCACCCCCCATCCCACCCCTTTTCAGGGGAAGAAAATCACTAGTGAGTTAGTAGGTCATCGAGTGAATTCCCCTTCTGGGACTGAAACACCTCTGTCCTGCAGCTCAGAATCCAGGGTAGAGAGGAGGTGTTGCCTTTGAGGCCCCTCCCCCGATCATTCTGGTGCCCTCCCAGGGGGCAGTCCTACCACCCACGTTAGGAAACGCCATCCTAGATGGGCATGGGCACAGGCTGCACAGCTGGGCTGAGCTGCTGAAAACAGGTGGGCCAACTGTTTACATGACAACAGGTGTGGCCCCACCCATCAGCAGACAGCTCTTTGTGGCCTTCCGACTCTGAAATCACAGGGACTCTAGGTTCTTGATCCAAGCAAGTAGCTCACTCCGGGAACCAGATTGTTCCTATGGCCTGGCCACGCAGTGGGCACTTGCAGGCTGAGAACCTGGCGTGGTTCAATCTTCCAGCCAGCACCTGGCTGCACAGCAGAGGCTCTGACTGAGGGATGTAGAGAGAGGGGACCCGACTGCTGCCCCGCTTCCTCCCCACTGATGGGACCACGTGCCGCACCAGGGGACAGCTGCTCTCACCTCCCCGTTCTCAGGGGGGTCTCCATTGCCAAAGGTGCTGGTGACCACCAGGACCAGGGTCTCGTGTTCCAGGTGCACAATGTCATATTCTTCCATGGACATCACCTACGTGGCGGCGGGAGGTGGGGAAGGAGGAGGAGGAAGACTGTAACTGTCCTGTCCGTAAGAAATGACCCTTCCCAGCTTAGACCGGCCCCACAGTTTTTACCTATGAACCCAGCTTCTACCTCCTAGACCCACATCCCACCCTCCTGCAGCTCCGTCAGAGTGAAGCCAGGGACCCCGGCACACCTATTGGCCGGGAGAGACAAGACGCGTTGGAGACCAAGGATCATACTGCCCTGCCCCCATTTCAAAAGGATCCAGCCCTTTGCCTAAATTGCTACTTTCCAGAACCCACTCCTCCTTTCCCCAACGAATGTTCCTGCTGCTTGCGATAGGAAGCGACCGCCATCTTTCTCAAGCTCCAGTCTCCGTGATCTCCTTCCTCTGCACTGTCAGGAGCCCTTACTGCAGACATCTGTCTCCCCAATAAGGACTTGGTGGAAGGGTTTGTCCCCTGACTCCGGCGCCCACTCATTTCCCATGGCGGAGAGAGGACAGACAAGGTAGGGGACACAGAGGGATGGGAGCAGGGGCACAGAGAAAGAGGGACGTGAGGAGCCATTTTCTTGGGAAGGGGGGCTCAAAGCTTGAGGTTGCCCTCTCTGCCCTGGGCTCAGAGAGGGTCCAGATGAAGGCTTTTGGGCAGAGTGAGACCAGCCTATGGCCACCGGGGTTGGACAGCTGTAGGGATTCTGAGTAACCGCCAGGGGTTGAAAAATCTTGACGGACAACCTTGGAGCCATGGGCGACTACACCCAACAGCCCCTGGGGTCTTCCTGGCTGCCCTTTGGCTCGGAATGGCCATGGCCGTGCGGAGACTGGCACTAAGGGCTGGGCCTGCGGCTTCTTTTCCCTAACCCTGTACCTGCCGGGGGAAAGACCTCTCTCTCTCTCTCTCTCTTTCTCTCTCTCTCTCTCTCGCTCGCTCGCTCGCTCGCTCGCTCTCCATCACCGAGCAGCACATCTCAAAGTAGGCCCCAGGGAACCTCAGTCTCCAGAGAGCTCCCTGACTGTAAGCAGTCGGTGGAGAAGTGTGCTTGGGGAACACTTGGGTTCTAGGCCCTCCGCTTTGGGCGAGGATCATACAGCTTTGCAGATCGAGGGCTCTGAGAAGCAACTGGGACACAAGCCTCCCGATGTCCCAATCGGAATCAGTTCCTATCAGCCCGCTGCCACTTTGTTCTAAGGGCGGGACCCCCGGGACCTCCGTCCTGTCCTTCCTCAACCTCTGGAGGCGCTATGGAGGAAGGGAATTCTAGGGGCACAGCTTCTGCTCCTCTGTCTATATGCTTGCACCGACATGCTAATGGGCTCCCTGGGGTGTGCCTCTGCCCATTCTCAGAGAGAGGGGTCTTCTCTGCTGCCTCCCCATCTTCAATCACCCAAGGGACCCAGAGCTGGCATGCCCCCACCCACCTTGGCATCGAAGGCATGCTTGAAGATCTCACACAGGGACTTGGCATAGGCCTGCGATTTGCCCGTCTCAGTGGCGTACAGGATGGTCGCTTTGACCCTCTTGGCCATCGCCTGTCCCATCAGCTTGGCCGAGAACTTGACGGCTCTGGGGGAGAGAGAGGAAGTTTGGGCAATGGAGACGGGTCTGAAGATGTTGGGTCAGGACTTTGGGGTATGAACCAGGAACCAGGAGGCTTCACAGGAAATAATTTGCTTTCCATCTATGGGGGGGGGGTCCCCTTCGGCACACTTGAAGCCCCCGAGTTTAGGTGCCACACCGACTCCTTTACACCAGAGGGCCACCACTCTTGGCAAAGACACAACTCATTTGAAAAGCGATTTAACCGTGGGGAAGCAAAATGAAAAATAACAAGACTGTTCTCAAATGGACTGTGGTGATGACTGTACAACTCTCCTGGATAGGACTGAACTGTCGCATGGTGTGATAGGTGGATGAAGTGCACATAAAACCGTTAAGAGAAAAAGGATCATCATTCTTCTGTGTCTTCTTCTCTGTTCACTAGATATGTGCCGAGTGCCTGACTGTGTGCTGGTGTGTGTGCAGGGGGGTCTTGTTATGGAGCCGAAGAGCAGTAAGATCCCTGTGATGACTGTGAGGTGGAGCTCATAGGGGAGGAGAGGGGGAGGGAGGGAGGGAGGGAGGGAGAGAGAGAGAGAGAG